ACACACGTATACAAATCTAATCTTTACAAATCAACTATAGAAGGGTAAACACAATAACAATTTGACATTAGTCACTACAAATATATGTGAGGACTGCTTACATACTTCTATTGGTAAAAAATGTCCATGGACAAATGACCTTCAAATAAACTGACTTCATTTCATGTAAAAACTTTTTGACTATATATTTTGATGATTAATTATAATCCGAATAAATCTACTGAAGAAGCTGTGGCTTACACGGCGAAACGTTCAGAAAATCCTGTTTTGATTTTCTTAACACTCTGGGATTAATTTAAACAATATATAATGATTCAACAGATACATTTTATTTCGTCAATATCTTGTCATTTGTATAACACTTGGCCAATCGAAGTAAGTAATCATACTACAGTCTTTACATACTTTGGTCAATTAAGTAGACAAAATATGCAACACAAAAGATTATGTGATATTTTGGAAAATGTTGCTCAACAAAATTCGTAAAATAAAGCCAGTTAAACTTACTTAAATTCAGGTATAATGAAAACATGGTTTATTCCATGAAATGTCGATAACTAGGCGTAAAGAGGCTAAAATAAAAGAAGATACCCAGATAAAGCGAAAGGCCAACTATGGCATGTTTTTAAACAAGCAAAACATATTTTAACCTTTTGATAGTGATCATCTTGGAGAAATTCTGGAAGTGCTGGTTTTTCTGCTTATTCTTCATCTTGAAGTCCTTCTGGTTTATTTATTGTACATTAATTTATTAGTTCCAATTGTAGCATTAAGAACACAATATTCATTGAAGGGACTTTTTGCAACGAATTTATTATCAATCTGTACTACCGTACATATATGGTTTTCTAAAATTATATCCAATGATGGAATTACATGAAAGGGGGAAACATGAAATAATAATAGTATGAAGTGTAATTTGTTGAAAAGTCTCTTCACTGAATATTGTGTTCTTATTGTACATTGTCAGATTATTAAAAGCTAACTTCCTGAAGACATCGGACGGGATTTTCCTTCTCTAGAACCCATGTGATCAGTCTTAGGCTTGACAAAGGTTCTAAAAATTTGATCAATCTTCTAGATGATGGACACATGTGTATTTTCTGTGATTTTTACTTTAACTACTTACTTTTAGAGAGTAGTATACCGCATAAAGACACAATGTTCCCACAAATCAGTTCACAGTAGTTGATCACAATCTACAAAATATTTTGAAATGTCTAATATTCATTTTGAAATTCCTAAAAATATTAGAGAAAATTGATCCCCTGAAGGTCCATCCTGGAAAACTTAATCGAATATGGACACCAAGCTAACCTACAAAACAACTTCAAATTTATCTGAAGAATACGTGGCGATCTGACTAAGAGAGTACGAGTCAAACTTCTCCGAACCACAGAAGCAATCGCAATTCACATGTTAAATCCTGAACTCTGCATACAAAAGAGGTTTGTTCAGTCATTAATTCTACAATGGACCTGATCTATCTTAACAGCGAATACCTAATAATTTTTGTTTTTTGTTACTTAACTGTATTATTTTCTTCCCCTACCCCCTGATAAATCTCTACCCCTTATTATCACTGTTAGTAACTTGACTGTCCTCCAATTTTAGTTGAATTCTACTCAGCCCCACCAGTTATATTACGTCACTCAGCTTATTTTAGTTTTTACACGATTGACGCTTTCTGAATTGCATAATATGTTATCTGAAAAATTTGCAATTCGAATGACACACTTTTGGAAACATACCTTTTACGAGTTGATCACGGATTGATATCAGTTAGAGAACCATTGAAAACCAGGGAGTACTGGATAGCCGCTGTTTCATCCTAGTTTGGGAATCATCGGCAGTACGTACCCACTGGGTAGAAGTTAGAATTCATGAGCCATTGAATCGGGTCCCAATGGCTGAATGGTATACGAGCTTGCCTTGTAACCGGAAGGTCCTGGGTTCGAATCCCAGTGAGTGCGTACTGCCGATGACTCCTAAACTAGGATGAAACAGCAGCTGTCCTATACTCCCTGGTTTTCAATGGTTCTCTAACTGATATCAATCCGTGATCAACTCGTAAAAACATAAACGCTTACAAACAAAACTATAGAAAACATAACTTTTGTTGCAAAGTAAATTTACTATATATATATGATTGTACAGCTTGAGAATGATATCACCAAGAAAAGTAACTCTTCGCTGAACGCTTTTCCTCTTATATAACTCTTATTTGTTTTTGGGATTTAATATCACCTGAGAATGAACGTTTACCTCATGGTTAGTTGTATTGTATGAAAACAGCTTATCTTACCAAAAGAAACAAATTAGAATCCAAATTAGTAATTCGAAAAATAGAATCGCTCAAAATCATTCCCAAAACGCATTTATTTTATGCTTATATTGTCGGGCTTTTAAATGAAATCTACCGAGTAAATGTAGCAAAGTTTCTAAGTCTTATAGTATGACAATATTTCAAACTTTGGTATTCTCTATTCTAATCTATTATATTGGTAGGAGTCAGTTGTCAGGATGCAATGAAACAAGACATAGTACCATCGCGTATACTTACCAAAATTTTTAATTTAAGGTTACCCCTCTGGTAGTTCTATTCCATCAAATAATCTACTTTCCAGCGTGAAAATAAATATGAACTCACACAAAAATTTCTTTTGTTAGTAATCATTTGTGTAATGGAGAAAAACTGCAGCTTAGATGGATTCTTTTTTCATCATTATGTTCTTGAATACTAAAATGAAGTTAGCGTTAACAATTTCATAACAAAGGAAAACGCTATATATATAGTAATTTCATTTAAATAAGTATACAGCTCAAGGATTATTTATGCAGCTTTAAGTGATAATTATAGTCATTCACTTATCTACTTGTGATATCTAAAATTGAAGAAAGTCATAATGTCAGTGTACATTAGTATTAGTAATAACAGTTGCTGTTAGTGTACCCAACTAGCCACATCTATCAATCAGTATTATAGAGCATTAATTGCTAGAGAAAGTCTAAAGCCGACTACATGTGATGCTGAAAACATCTTCATTAGCTAAAGTTGTCATACAAGTACCGAACTGATGATAGATATATGCATTTTCTGAATTGCAATGAACATTGATGCATATTTTGTCATGGTAAACTTTTGAAATTTCTACTAACCATTTCTGAAAGCTATATCTATGGACAGTGGGACAAATCAATTTATAAAGTTACTGTTCAATTTATTTCAACTTTATATCTTTACAAATGGATTTAGAAAGTTATACCTTTTTTGAATCTGCTGGTATTATAATGAAGGTTCTAGTATATGGAAATCAGCATTTTTTCAAGCTGAATATTTCACTCTGATAACACTTATTATCCATACATATATGACCACTTTATTCCAAAAAGAGTATGATTATACAGTGAGAATTTTCAGCGTTTTTATACATATTGCAACAGATTACCTCCTTTTATAACTTTGTACATGCATAAATCTCAATCTTTCTGTTTTCTAAATGTCTAAATGGGGATTTTTTCTATATTGAAATTTAAAATAATTATAATAATGAAACCACCACAAAAGGAATGCTGGCGGAAACACAATGAATCATAATTAGATAATATCATAGATAATACATGTAATGATAATCGTTGCCTATACTTTGCATTTCAGTTAAACATTTAAGAAGTTTATGAACTCTTTTCTGACATTTGACTCTTCACACAAAAGCCATGCTATTACTGTAAAGTAGAACCTTAATATTTAGTTATACGGGCATAAATCCTAAAGAAATTTCTTCTGGTCTTACCCGACGATGTACAAAGAAAAAGTTGTGAATATAGAGAGTGTTCAGTATCAGACAAGATAACTTTAGCCAACTGTTTGCAAGAAATGAAGTGCCTATTGACAATAATGTCAGTTGTTTAAGACAAAGACATACTACTAACCCTACTTAAAATCTTCAGTGTCCTACCTAATATTATTATTATTATTGTATCCTTTAGTTCCTAGAGGAACATAGGGCTTCAGCTGCGCACCTCCATTGACTTCGGTTTTTTGACAACTTTTTCACCCTGCTCCAGGTCTGCCCACATGCTTTCATCTCCTCTTCACATGATGCAAAGAGGTTCATTTTGCTGAAGGTTCTGTAGCAACTTTGTTTACAGGGTGTGGTTGCTAGCCTCACGCCTGAGAAAAGAATGATTACATTAAGTAAAAGTTTAGAGAGAAGCAACTTTTTGGGTTGCTCCCCTCAAAATCAGAAAATAACGGACAAACAATGAGAACAGCATCAACAAAGGAAACAGTTCACAGAAAAAAGGGCAAAAAGCGACGACAACTATAAAATAGGACAACATGTAATATAGTTCAGTACAGTTAACTAAAATGATATCTTAACCATAAACTCACTGACTTGGAGCAACTTGAACATATAAATCCAACAATATATACAATTATAGATGTGTTTATGTTTAAAAATTCCACAAATCCAAACAGTGAGTTATGTGTATTATCTGTCAATAAGATTGTATTTTTTTGGATTCAGTGTTCGAAAGGTTAATAATTGTGATAATTTCCGCAAACACTTTGCATAAAATTTTAGACTAATAAGAGATTTTATTTATGACCAAAATGTAGCGTAATAGTCGAAAAGCGCGCTCACTACCTAATATGATATATTCATTGTTGAGAAGTCCAGAGAAGAGCAGGGGAGAACAATAAGGAAGATTGGATAGGATATACGAATTGAAAAATTTTAAGAAAAGAGGTTGATTTACTCCGGAAAGTCTCAACTTCTTTATATAGTAAGTCGAAGGAAGAATCTTCTCTGCAATCAACAGCATACGAGACGAGCAACAGAGATTCGAAGAGAAACTGATGAAGAATCTGTGCGGGAAAAGCCAATGTCAATATATATATAAAATCTCAAGATGAGTTTTTTACCATATATTTATTTATATTCCAGAATATAATTAATTTTATATTACTAAATGTTTCTTTGTAATTCTAACAGATGAACTGGCAACTGTTATAGTAAAGTTAAAAGAAATGATAACCAATTCATTACGCGAAAGTCTAACACCTGAAAATACTCATTATGAATCACTGAGTCAACATCTGGGCAATACGGAAGATGAAATAAATAAGCATAAAGACAAGTTGTCATCACTGCTGTCACCTGAAGATGTGAACATGTTTGGTGGAAAGAAAACCATAAAGGTGTATTCCAATATTCCTGGATCATTATTCAAAGAGGCTTTAGAGTTCTATGAAAATACGCACAGTAAGTTAGTTTGATATTTTGTAAGGTAGATACTAACTTCTAGCAATCTGACAAAAATTAAAACCAAAGCAATTTTATAAGTTTAAGCGAATACTCTGTACTAGTAGGTATCAAAATTTTTTTTTTTATTAAGTTGGTTATATGTTACATAAAAACGTTCATCGGAAGACTAGAAAAAATACATTTACCTACAGTTATATTAACATCTTTTGTGTGACGGTAAACATATCTACCTACTTGAAAGCTCGTCTTTTTAAAATATCATTAATACCATAATGGTATTTGCCAGAGAACACTGATGAACGGTACATTAGTCAGTTCCAGTTTAAAAATAGAATTTGAATAAGAAAGTAGGTGTCTTGTATCTACAGTGTCACTCGTCATGCTAAGATATATTCAGAATGCATAATTACATCATTTTTAGTCAATAAGTCTCAATAAATATCAGTACTAATCAAATATTCTGTATTAGAGAGGTGACAGACACATCTCAAAAATTCATAAACAAAAAAATGTGATCGTTTTCTGCAGTAAATTTCAGTCTTTAGTGTGCTGTATGACATCCAGAGAAACTACCGAGCTGAAGTCTACCCCAAGACTATTTTGAAGAGGTAGACACATGCATAAATACATATATGTGGGGAAGGCGATGAGGAATACCGACAAATTATGGTTGTCCACAAATATCGTTTGATTTTGACATTTCTTAAATTCACTCCCCAGAAGTGGCCATATGTGTCGAAAATCATTCAACAATAGAGAAAAACAAACTATTGTCTACTCACTCCCAAAAATCTGCTCTTCAGACAAAGTATGACACTTAACAGAAATTTTTTAATTTCCTTCACATTCCCAGTGGAACATAGGGTCTCAAGCTAGTGGCTTGAAGTTTCTGTAGCGGTGTTTAATTTTTTACAGGATGGTGTTGTCAGCCTCATGCCCAACATTTCCTCTTTACTAACATTATTTCTGGTTTAGCGAGATTTGGGAGTGCCTCGGCCAGGGATCGAACCCCGGGCCATGTGCTTTGTCGGCGAGCGTCCTAACCGCTGTGACACCGACGCACACCACCTAACAGAATAGCAAGTATTAACTCACTTGTGTTTATTTTTACTTTCTGTGAAATTCTAATATCATAATTATTTATTTACTGGATTTCTGCATTCTTCCAAATTCGGCTTTCAGCGCCTTAGATGTCCTTTGTTTAAATATACAAGTTATTGACTGAGTTATGAAGTCATTTTGTTAGCTTGCTTCAAATTCCCTAAATGATTCGTCATTGGAAAAAAATGTTAGTTGTACTATATCAAGGATTTACGTGTTTTATATCATCAGTGAATTGAAACTCCAACAAAACACTTCTCTTATTACATGGGCGCTTTAAAGAATAACAAATAGTGTATTACTTTATTGTCGTACGGTATTTTCAGGAAATAGATCTTTCATTCACAAACAAATATAACTTTTAGTTTAAGCATTATTTCATATTTATTTCTGAACACCCATAATTACGTTTTGCAAAAACTGAGAACGTCGTTACTGCTTCCATTCCATTTCCTAGGTTGTATGCATCTAAAGACATCAGCAATGAGCAAAGCCTTTTGACTATCAAAAGTCCCATATTTTATGTCAATTATTCACCGAAACAGACATCATTTTCACAAAGATAGAGTGCATACCTGTTAGGGAGCAGTTATTCTTCACAATATTTACAATTAAGCAGAATAATAGGTAGTATTTCAATAAATCTGAATGAATCCTCCTTACATATTGAGTGACCAGTGTTGAATATATGTTCAGTTATAAAACTCCTTATTGATCCACTGTTACCTTTACTTAACCAAGCGAGATAATGTTTTTTAACTCTTTAAGATAAAATACGCATCTAACGACCCATATATCTCGCTCCACATGAGCAGCTGAATCGGTAGATACACATATAAGTGGTCATATGAAATAGTTTATCTTCGGACAATTGGCGGCTTGAGAATACCAATCGTAAGGTAGCAACAGAGGATGTTATTTTTAGGGCGTTAGGTGTACTCCTCTTTAGGTTGTCGTCCGGATGGTCGTCTTTGAATGCCAAATTAATGTGCAGCATCTTCTTCGGTACACAGATGGGTTTTTCTTTGTTGATTTTCGGCTTTATATGATTATCTAAAAAGCTTAATGAATAACCATTCTCAAGTAGTGTCTTTCTCAAAAGAGTGATCTCTTATTCCACTAATTCAGGCTTGCAGATTCTATGGATTCTAGTCACAAGGGATATTCTTGGGTTTCACCTGGGATTGATGGGTAGACAGCTGTAAAGTTTTGTTAACTGGCTGTTCCATGTAGGCTTTCGATATACTGTTCAAAGTTCTATCAGTCTTCTTTCTTAATCGGACATCCAGAAATGAGAATGTCTCTCCCGTTTCTACTTCAGTTGTAAACTTGATAGCTGGATGGCAGCCCTTAAAAACTTGAAGGATATTACATTTGTTATCACAAATGATAAGTGTCACCAACATACATTTTGTACACAGGAAAGTTGTCGATGGTCGGTTTGAAAGGGCCATTTTCCAAACTAGTCATGAAAATATCTCCAGGTAAAGGGCCTAAAGGTGAACCCATTACCACACCATCTTTTTTCATTTAATATGAATCGCATTCTACTTTTTACCTGAAATGAAGAATGTCTGAAACAAGAAGTAATTTAAACATTAAAAATTCATCTACCACTGAAAGAATGGAGAGTTAACTGTCTGTATTATCGACAAACGTCGTCTAAGGTTTACTATATTTGTTTTTGCATGCACTTCAGGATCTTCATATTCATGTACTCGTAACATAGATTAAGCAGTATTGGGATTAAGTGATAACGATACGCCACAATTAATCATCAGCTGCAATTAAAGCGTTAAAATGACGGAAGAAAATGAGTTGCTTTATAATAAATCAGTCATTAATCAATACATTAAGTTGCAAATAATCAAGATCCTGCTTCAGATTGCGAATGACTGAAGAAGAATGTAAAATATCAGTGTATAATAGTTCTCTGAGGAGTTGTAGTTTATAACACAGAAAAAATGTGCTTTCAAATTTGCCTCTTAGATATTATTGTTTCAAGAATACTCGGCAGTAGATTGAAGACGTTTATTTGAGGAAAATACATAAGTCAAGGACAGTTGACAAACGTCTACGGTTATGTGCCATATTTCATGCAGCGAAACTTTATATGACATGTTTTACGCAACTTAAGATACGAAGCTGGGTATTTAGGAAATTCATTGATGTTGGTCTTTTACTTCATCAACAGCATATACTAATTTGGTTTAGTCATTAGTGAAGATCGATTAATTCATTTATTCTGAGAAATCTCTTTTAAATCCATCATTGAGCTTCAAAACTCACATCTGACAATGTTAACAAATTCCACTGATTTCCTTTCTCACTTGTTATATGTTGTACCGTTTTCCAGTGTATGATTATTCTTAACGACTCCTGAATATTTTCCAGTCCTAGGTATTTGATTGAATAACCGTACTAACCGTATTGAACAAAGTTGCCATAACCAGGCTACGCTAAATAAAAATCCAACAGCTTTAACATTACTCTTATCTGGTGGTTGGTGAGTTACAGTAGAGTCCAAAATGCGTGTATCGCCCTGTCTGGGCCTGTACTAGGAGTCAATATGTCGACAGTAACCGAATATTGTTGACAATAGGTTGTCGGAGGCAATTGGCAGGAAATCTTGGATCTAGGTTTCTCGCTGGTCGTCACTCGTCAGCAAGGAGTACCTAAAACCTGAGGTACAAGCGAGCGTCACTCAATGCTTCGGTTAGAGACGTTATCACTAGGCTATTAGGGCTCTCGACTGACGTTCTTTAGGATAACAATTCACTGTGTATCGTGACTGCAAGCCACCTATCAAGGTGGCCGTATTGAAGGCTTGGCTCATAGAGCTCAGTCTGAAGCAAACAAAGGACTAGCCACATTATACTGTTTACTAACTAGTGTCTACTTAAAGAAATCGAACATTTCGGGAAAAACATAATCAGTCAACTGGAATTACCAAATAACCTTAACATTTCATTCACTGTATGCTGAACACCTTTTAAGTGCCAACGAATAGATATAAAATCATGAGCGGGTGTTTTTGTAGTTACTGCGTTTGACTGAGCTGGAAACCAGCAAATGCAAGGACCTCTTCGGAAAAAATGAATCAATTAAAATAATCCAATTTAATGTCGGTGAATTAAGCAGGATATGAAACGGCAATAAGGTGAAATTTGTTTATTTTAATTTCTTCACGTAAAATCCACCAAGTACTTTCTGGATCATTAGAAAACACGCCTAAAAAATATTTCGTTTTCGTTTATTAACCAATTCACTTATCCACCTGCCTCCTAAGCTTATTATTTTCATCAATATTCCCAGAAATAAAAACTCTCTTTTTACCCCAGATTTTATTTTACTTTGCTTATGTGTACATTTACAAATTACGCGTGAGACATCACTACAAAATTTAGACCATTTTTTTTTACAATAGAAGGTGGAAACTGGTACGCTGACCTTTGGGGCTTAGTTTTCGATTCCGTATTTACAGTGATATAACTTTTTCCTCTGTAATTTTAATTTCAATTATTTTTCAAACAAAAGTGTACGCAAAACATGAATTCAGAGTGAATCTTCGAGAAAGTACAGTATCATACCATTTTCCATTTTAATGTTTAGTTAATAACGAATCCGAAGGAACTCCATGTCCACTTACTATATACTTACTGGTCATCAAGTTTTAAATAGATGTGATTTTAACTAAAAAACGGCAGTTTATTATGAGGTGATAAGTGGAGAGAAGATACGTTATGTTTTTCAAGATAACATATTCGGTTTCAAGCAGTTTTTCTTATTCAGAGATAAGTTCTAAATGAACAACTGATGGACTTTTGACTAAGTTTCAGGTCTGAGTAATGTGCCTAAACAACAGCTCGTTGTTTTTTACAAGCCGAAAGATACAATTTCATTGAGTGTTTGTAGTCGTCTGGAAAATTAGGGCGAAATTATGAGTGTATATGGAGTGTGTTTCAGTTTTGTAGAACAAATGATACTGGTAAAGAGTTGATGTGCAAAAACGAATGATTTCAGGGCATGAAATCACCGAGTCGAATGGATGTGTAATCAGTTTTAATAGGATCAGTTAGTTACTACAAGACATGTATTCATTTTAATTACACATCTCATATATCTTAAGACATTTTAAGATGTTATAGGTAAAAACTGTTTTGCATATCTAACATTTCTCTATTATATATTTATCTTTTCCTAAAAGTCACTAAAACAGCTGGGAGAATGGATATGTTAGTTGGTGAAGTGCTTCAAAACTACTCATCATCATATTCACCGGGTTCTGGTGCTAATGGATACATTGAAAGTAGTAATAATACGTATACTTCAAACAAAGTGTACAATACACCATTACTACAAGCTCTAACAAATTCAAATGTTTATTACACAAATCATGATGAGGAGAAATCACCAGACACAAGAAGCTCAAGTACAGCTTTTCATGAATCACCTGAAATCAACAAACCTAATACCTTTCAGAAACACATACATCAGTCTACATCAACATCCAGAACAAATTATCCAGGACCTCCGCCTGAGTTTAAACTGATTTATGAGTAATTCTCATAAAGTATTACAGAAAATACAAGTAGTTAAAAAAATCTTCCCTTTTTTGCATACTTCACTTTACTTTTTTGAATCAGAAATGTATTCCCCAGAAACGTATAAGTGTTTATATAAAATATATACCCCTTTTTATTTTAAGATTTATTAATTTATTCTATTGACATCAATTCACTACAATAACGAGTGAGTAAAGCCAGCCGAAAAAATAAACATACCTGTGATATATTATCAATCTTTTTTTAATACTCTATTTTTCAGTCCATATGTGCATATATATATATGTTAACAAGTTTTCTTCATATCTTAACTTTTCAGTGTGTTTCAGACAAGTAATGACTGAAGCAGAGTGACAGTCTTACTCTCCTTACTTCTTGATTTCAATTACATACTGCTGTGTAACATATCTTGCTGCCCAGGTTGTACTTATAACACGTAATCATTAAAGAAAAAGAAATATTCATTAAGACTACTAATACTTTCACTTGTCATAGCATTAATAATAATAATAATAGTGAAGTTACCCATTTCATATTATAATCTGCAATATTCTCAAGATATTGAGTGAGTACTGTTTAATATATGACTATTGTTGTCAAAATCCCTTTTTGAAATTTTCTATTATTTGGTTTATTATCATTTTGTGGTGCATAATAGACAAATAAATTAAAACTGTATTCTGAGATTAGAAAATTTATATACAATTATTTGCATACCTACTATTCATTATGTACTGCAACACAGATTGACTAATATTTAAATATATATATTCAAGAAACACCAGGCAAATTTTCAACTATCATTTGTGTTTTCAACACCACGGTAATAGTAATCATCGTAATAATAATAATAATGATGATGATAATAATAATAATATTAATAGAGATGTTCAACGTTCAATATATTCAATTCTTTTGGCACGAAATAAACTTCGACTAATATTGTTAACTTTTTCCTCTCTCTGTACAAGTTTTGTATTCTCGCCTTTGTCATTCAGAATCACATCTTATTTCTTAAACACACCTATTATACCTGTGATGCATGACCACGACGTGACTGTATTGCGATCATCATGTAGAAATGTGTTTGTTTCAACTGAAAAAGAGTACGATAATTCACTGTGATGAAACTTTTCTTGAACAACTGTATTAATAAAAACGTTTCCGATCATTTTCATTTTTTTTATTAAATTAGTTTTCGACTCTTTTCAATGCTAAGCAGAAGCTTTCACAATAAAATACTGCAAAACGTTTCTAGGCAGCCAGAGGACTTATTTGATTCAGTTTAAATTTCCCCTCGATTGACTGAACCGATTGATCAGACCTATTGCGAAATAGGTGCCCCTCGTAGCCCAAGTGGTATAGAAGATAACTCTTTGGGGGTTTGAAACCATGGGTGCTGGGTTCCAGTTTCAGTAGAAACACTATCACTCACTAGGGAATGCAGGGACATCCAGATGATGAGTCTCGAATACCACGAAATGCGTATCCTCGATTCCACTGCTAGTCGACATTTACCAACCGACTTCAACCCAGAGACATCAGTTGCCTCATAATTGGCTAATGTATACAAATACCAAAACTAAAGACACTTTATAAAATTTAACATGTCCTGAGAAGCATGATTCTATGCAGAAAAATCCTCACATATTCTCTAGAGGTGTAGCTGTCCATACTTTTAATTAATGCTTGTAAATCACTGTTTCTACGTCTAAATACCACTCCTAACCAGTCTTCATGGAATTGTGATTTTTATTATTAAAGTTAAATGAGAGTTTAAGGGATTCCTGTTACATTGGCAATGTGTAAAGTCCTTATTAGGGTTGTTGGCGGATAAATATCCAAAAGGAAACGCAGTCAGAAAGATAAAATGTGTACCAGACTGTTTCGCATGCCACTGAATGCGTGTACTAGTACTTCTTTGTTGCCTCTCCGATTAGCCTGCAATCTGAAGCCTCGTAAATAATATTGTTTCGTTACAGGATTTCATCATGAGGTGACATTAGTTAGAGAACCATTGGAAAACCTGGGAGTACTGGACAGCTGTTTCGTCTTAGTTTGGGAATCATCGACAGTACGCACCCACCGCCACGGTCCGAACCGAGGACCTCCTGGTTACAAGGCGAGCTCGTATACCATTAAGCCACTGGGACTCGATCCAATGGCCCATGAATTCCAACTTCTGCCAATTCACGATATAGCGCAACCGCTAGCTAATGTCTTCGGCGAGTATTTGTCCTCACACCCGACCCGCTGCACCCTACTGGTTACGACTTCCCACTGGAACCCCAGGTAACTACCTACTTGAATAGGGCCAGTTGCCAGTGAGCATCTCATTGATATTCAAGTGTTGGTTTGTAGGGATTTGGTTGATTAGTTACAGGAATTCATCATGAGCTGACATTAGTTAGAGGACCATTGGAAAACCTGGGAGTACTGGACAGCTGTTTCGTCCTGGTTTGGGACTCTTCAGCAGTACGCGCCCACCGAGGTTCGAACCGGTGTTTCACTTGAAGATATCAAGTACCATTTGAATACCCCACAATAACTTCGAAGCGATAGTTTGCAAAGATCCCATTTTATTTTTCACAACCAGACCATTATGTTGTGTAATGTACTTTATACCCAACCATTCAAACCATATCCATCGTGTCACCTATGTTATTTCATTGTATGACAGGATGTCTTGATATTTAGATCTGCACTAATAATGTTCATAACGTGACACGCATTTTAGGCCCTGTTACATATCTATACTCCACGTCAAATGCTCACTAGCTACAAGAAACTTCAGTTGTCGGCTCAAAAAATGAGTTTCATATGAAGTTATCTATTGTTCCTGTAACATCTGATCAACATAACCTCGGCAATGTGCTTTTCTACAAAGCCGATATTACACCGTTTCACTGGATTATCATTAAACGTGGTTTGTATACTATTAGGCCAAAAGAGTGTATCTGGATAAAAATCAGTCTTTAGGCTAAGTGACCTCGTTTACTCCTTTCTGTATTGGCTTCAATGTATTTCATCGCGGACGCAGAGGAAAATAAATTCAACTGAAGATTTCACAGAGTTATTCAAACGAAGTCGTATCTGGGTTGGATAGAGAACCGAAAAGCATAGTAATTCTGTGGTCTAGCGAAATGAATTCGGAAAACGTAGAGGTTTAAATTCAACAAGTAAGATTATCTTGATGAGCATTGCTTTTGAGGCTTACATGCCTTTCTGTGTTCGCTTTACCAGAGAGCGAGTGAAAGAACCACGAATTCTGTCACACAGACATATGGTACTGCATATAAATAATGGTAACGTTAGATGAATGTGCGCTATCACATCGCAGTTGTCGAATTTGAGGGATTATCTTTTCAAGTAGAAAAAGACATTCATATATAGCTTAGTATTAGGATCAGCAGTGACTTCGATGTATTTTTTATCCTACTATTCACGGAACGTTAACTGGGACGCTCTTCGATGAGTGCATTTTATTGGAATGTTCATGTTTGCTGTTTTATTCTTTTCAAATTATATTTACAGTTTCATAATTCATAAATATGATAACTAATCTAACGTAATTCTTGTTGGTCAACATGCACTTGCAAAAAAATAACTTATTTGCTCATATATCTGTGACTACTGATAACGTAATAGATAGTCACTTGCAAGTTAGAGTAAGTGGACAAATGCTGATAAAAACAGATCCCCAATGTGTCATTTAAAGACTTGAAACATATCTTGAGATCCTATAACATTTTAAAGAATAGAAACGACCTGTAGCCCAAATTAGGTAGTCACAATAAAGTATTTTAGGAATTTCTATAAGAACATTGGAGCAATTAGAAGAACAGAGTGAAGTAGCGGATAAAAGTCATACTCTGCTCGATAAAGTATCACTGTATTTTTCTACATGAGACTGTTTTCAAAGAGCTAATTCATCTTTTTCAAAATATGATAAAGACCATAAAACAGTGCACACTTTAGCAGTGACAAGTATAAAGTTGGTGATATGCTCACTTTTACTACCATGGGTATGTTAATATTTCCCGACGGGCTATTCTAATTGTAATAATCAGTTGTTGCTAACTTTTGGTGATATCCAACAGTGTCTACAGAGCATATGAATACCGCTCCAAGCAAAACTTTAATTTAACTAACCATAAGATTTTTGTGTGTAGTGCGTGTAAAACTGATTCTTAATAGTGTGAAATGGATTGTTGGTGAAAATTCCGAGGCAGTCTTGTATTTCTGAAATAGATGGTGACTGGAGGTTAAGGAGACACCTGATGTAAACCAGAAATTTGTGGCTTGTAAACTCAATGCTAAACCAACTCCGCTAAAGGATACACCCTTTGTAAGTAATGAAAGGTTAAGGCAGTGTTAAGAGATATCGAGTCTGAGTGAAGAAAAAGGTCACTGCAGGAATCATTTATATGTATCCAATTCCAAAACTCTTGAGCATCGCACCATTAACTTCTCTGAGTTTGTTAGTTCGCGTATATTTGAGTTCCAGGAAACATATCACAGAGGTCTTCAGCTCTTAGTAAATTATCATCAGGTAAAATACAATCGTTCAATGAATATGGTACCATGGTGCAGAACAAACAAGCTAGGGATATTGAATCGAACAATAACAAAAGACTCAAATCTATCGAAGTCCACAGTAAGTTCCCTAGTGATCCTAATAAACGTTTCTTTAACCACACCTCACTCATTTTGTTGACTTTGTAATAACAAGCCCCATCGTTTGGACTGAAAATTTGATAAGTAAATCTAAACTACAACCGACTTTACACTAATGTCCAATCAGAGAAACTTATCGGTCGAACAAACGATGTTACCCCAGTCTCTGAAACAGAATTCTAACATTTCAAGCGAACAAACTTCAAACGCTGTAATCTATATCTCGGTTCACAAACTAAATTCTAACACCTCTTTTCAAAGGAACTCAAACAGAAGCTCAAAGCACTAAGAAACAATAAGGATTTAATAATTACACGTCTAGACAAAGTTTCAGCAGTAACCCTCATGGATACAGGCGTATATATCAACAAACTTACCGCTCCAACCTCTGATGATAGCAAATTTCCCAAGCCAAATAATGAGAAAAACAAGACAACGGACTGAACAGCAGCTGACAGATGTTCTTAGAAAAATGAAGAATGACTGTCTAAAAACTGAAAACCTTTTTGAATTCCTGAGACCAAGATGAAGAATTATTTTGTGAACTTGAGGCTTAAAAGGTTGCACAAGCCTGGTCAACCACCTCAGCCAATTCTAGACTTTTCGGCGCCATCATAACAACCAATTACCAAACTGTTGTGCGAAATGTTACAGCCTACAAGGCGACCACTCCGTAAGTACCCTTTCGACATACTTTTGAATTTTTTGAATGTACAGAAGATTTGAATGTAAATGGCGGAAGTATCTAATCTCTGAAAGTATAATTCTTATTGACCAACGTGCCACACACAAGCAATTTGTTTCCTGTGCAGATATACCGAGGACCTGACTCCAAGCATCAGAATACCAATTTTATATCCGAAAGAGTTGTTACTAAGATGCACATTTAATGTACAGTTTACCATCAGTGACGGTATCTACTGATAGAAGGATGGAATTGCATTGGAAATTCCTCTTGACCCACTTTTGGTAAGCTGCTACAGGACCAGTTTGAAGAATGAGACCTTAAAATCAACGAGAGACAAATTACTGTTGTACAAAATATATATCGAAGGACAAACTCCAGCAAATGACCGTTCCTTTGTGCATATAACACTTCACCTGCTCGTGCTGAGCTAGGTACATAGATCATTCTATGATGGTCCTTTCAAAACGTGTTATAGAACATTGTCCGATATGGTTGCAAAGAAGTGGTACTAGTTCAATCAGAAGCGCCATGACTGAACACCTCTTCAACACCTTTCGTAGCATATCAAACGATACATTATTCAGAGTCGTTTACAGAGTAAGCAGAAATCGACTAAAGGCAGTATGTTTCCAACTTCTTTGAATTTCAGAAGCCCTTGCCACATGCATTGGGAATCCCGAACTATATGCTGAAACGAAACTAGTCCAATCTCCATATTTACCACGACTCTAGTTCGGTTTGTTTCCTAATTCTATGTTTTTAGCTTTT